ATGTAAACCGTGGGAGTTTTCCCTTGAATCACATGTTCTAATATGAGCTGAGATCCACCACAAACACTGGGTAAAAAGCCAATATTGGGCAATGTTTTAAGTTAGGAAACTTCTGATTTGTAACATACATGTGATAGACCTGCTCCGCGCTCATGGCCTGCAAAGACAGAGTGTGTTTCTGCTGCAGCTGACCCAGAGTGAGAAGGCCTCGCAGGAACTGAGTGCTGCGGCTGGAGAGAGGGTCCGAAGGGTCCTGCTCCACCCTGCTGTAGACAGAACATTAGGCATTCAAAACAACCATGATAACCAAGACAACCTTACAACATAAAATAAAATACAACAGCAGAAGATACTTGGTGGTTTATCCAAATTAACCGGAACATTTTCAAAATACTAAATAGCCACCCAAACTTTCTACACATAACATTTAATTGTGTTTTGCACAGGTATGACTTTCTGGTTCCAGTAACTGACAACGATAGTGGGTTATTATGATGATGTCCAGCATCCTTGTTCACATTACTATAACTGTCCTGCCCTCACACTATCTCCTTCCAAACCACACACAAAAGAACGCAAACCTCTTGCTGCAGCGCTGTCGGACAAAGTGCTCCAGTCCCTGGTGTAAGAGCAGAGCAGCCTCCTTCTCTGTGTCCTCAGAGGCTTTCTGCTCCTGGTGCAGCAGAGCCAGCCCGGTGAAGAATCTGAGAAAAGAAGGCAACACAAAACAAATGTTGAAAATAAAACTAACTGTTGAACATTAGGCAGGACCCTGTTGAACTGTTGGGCCTCGTCTCACACGTGTGACTACTTCAACTGTATGATCATTAGTAAAGCAGGTTGACAGGTTAGTCAAAGCTGCTCTTGTGTAACAGTGAGAGGAAAGGATCTGCATGCATTCACCTCTTTATACTTAATTCCAGCTAAAGCAACAAGTCCATACCCAAGCTCCTGTTTGATCAAAGGGTTGCTTTTAGGAGTTGAAATACATGAATGATGATCCCTTATTCTTCGTTACTCTTATCACCGTCAACGGTATTGAAGTTTATGTAAGTAGCTTTGAATAAATATGTCAGGTAAATACGATGTTGTGCTTCCTGTATGACCTGACCTGAGAGCAGGGTGCAGCGGGCGCAGGGCCAGGCCGCTCTGGAGGTGCTGCAGGGCCTCGCCCCCCCTCCCCTGCAGCAGCAGCAGCCTCCCTGTGTGGAGGCTGAACTCCCAGCTGTCAGGATTCAGAGACCAGGCGTCCAGGTACTTCATCAGGGCGCGGTGCAGACCACTCCCTTCATCCCGCACCGCTGCACTGCTGTCCTGCAACAAGAGGGGAGAGAGAATTATTTATTTATTTGTTTATTCCAGTTATTTTAAAACAAAGCATGTACACTTATACTGGTTGTTGTTTTTTTATAGCAGGGAGAAGAACATCTTATGTTACCTTCCCCTTCTTAAAAAAAAATATTCTTTCAGTCACAGTTGCTTACAAATACTGAAACATAAAACCAGAACACAATCAAAAGTCAACTTCATACTGTCTAATTACGCTTTCTTTATACATTTTCTTTAACATACATATTTTCTTACAGCCCTTTAAATCATTCGGCAAAGAATATATAGATCAACTTCATCTGGGTGCCTTTACTAACCAGATTTATAGATGTGTTATTTCAGTATCACTTCAAACATACATACAAATGCATGACGCTAGTATCAATTCCTTATTGCTTCTGTAATAATAAAAGAGGAGGCTTTCCTTAATCTACCAAAAGGAAATCCCATTATATGCTTTAAAAGAAATAAAGTAAGATGATACAAATTTGTATTTTGTAAATTGTGTAACTTTTTTATTATAATTTGTTATCTTTAATACTTTTATACGCATGCTTCTTACGTAACATTAAGCTGTCTTTGGCTCTTTCCTGCTGTAACAATGTAAATGTCCCCTCTGTGGGACTAATAAAGGTATTCTGATTCTGAAAGTGACTAATTAGTATTGGCTGTATACCATGATGTCAGAGAAGTAGATTATTATTACTGCATTACTCTGTAAACAGCGACTGTGATTCTACCTTAGACCCGGAACAGGATAAGCAAATAATAAAAAGGTTAAGATGGCTGCTACAAGTCAGTCATGTTGTAAGTCATACAGCAAGTGAAGTAAACTGCTTATGACACAGTTACCTTGCCAGATTTCTTAGAGAGCCAGATATAGAGCGTCTGAACGTAGTCTGCTCTGCCAGACTGGCCCTGGTCTCTGAGCTGCTGATACTCTTTATCCAGGGCCTGCAGCTGGTTCTCCACCGTGGGCCTGCCGAGGAATCCATGGAGCTTACACACCGCCAGGATGTCGTCCTGACGGGCCGTCGACTTGGCATCGCTCAGTTCATCTCTGCCTCTGTCAGCCTGGGGAAGAATGGATTCAACGGTGAGAGGTGGGCTGGTTTTGGATGTTCTCAAATAGGAGAAGCATTTTCACCTATAATATGATTGTTATAAACTTTCAAAATAAACCACTCAGGTATTTCTTTAAAACTTGTTCATACTTTATAAATTCCTTAAAGGTGGGGTAGGTAATTCACTTCAGAAACACTTTTTGTTATATTCCATGGAATGTTCTTAACATCCCGATAGCAATGAATATATTCAATTGACAACAAATACATACAAAAAAGTCATCTGTGGAAGCCGTGGCGCTGGAAAAAGCACGACCAATCATCTGAGCCGGCCCGGATAAAGTAACTGGATGGCCTACCTGCCTGTCAGCCTTCCACCTGTGCACAAACTTATCTCGTGCCCTCATTGGTCATGTGCGCGTTCGTGTGTGTTGGAGGAGGGGCTCTGTAAGGAAGTCTGAAGGAAGGGGCAGATTTTTTGCGGCTGCGTACTTTCAAATTCTAGCGCACTCGAGCTGGTATCTCCATTCTTACCTACCCTACCTTTAAGATCAACATTTATAATTTAATGGACATTTCATGGTGGTATACAAAGAGTGAAAAAATGTGGGAATGCCCTTGAGCTTAGTACATAAAAAATATTTCTGTCAGGGTGCTTGAAGGCCACCTTTAGGGGAAACTTGTTCTTGAGCAAATGCCCTGTGTGAATGTGTGTAACAGTGTCAGTGCTAAGGGAGAACTGTAATTTACAAAATGTCCTCTTGTGTTGGTACATCTAGTTATTAAAAGCTCACATTTCATCACTTATTGTTGCCTGGAACTACCTTCCTGCGGAGGCCGTACATCTCGGTGGCGTAGTGCTGCTCCTCCAGAGAGAGGCCCAGCAGGAAGTGGAGTCGGGCCTCTCTGGAGCTGAGTCTGATGGCTGATGCATGGAGGACAGCCGCCTGCTCCAGGCTGTACAGAGGAGACTGTCCCTCCTCATACTGCAACACATCCCCTGGGGAAATGTCAGGAACAAACACTGTAGTATATGCACACATCAGACAAAAGGGCCCAGGGAGTATTTGCATCTATTTGTGAGATCATTTGCATTAATACGGACCTGAAAAATATCATTTCACAGTAACAGTATTACCTGCTGTGTATTACAGTAAAGGTTTCAGTATACTTTTGATGATTAAAACCCTTTTATAGTTATCCTGTATCCTGTACTTAATTAAATGTATATGTACAAATTAAGAGCCATAATGTTTTGTATAACTTTTACAACACGTATTAATGGTGATTGTGAAACCACTGTGAAACACTGTGGAGAGCGTAAGGGGAGGTTTGCTCCAAAACACAAAGACTAAGAAGCTGGTAACAAACTACTCATTGAGTGCTTTCTAAATGTATTCATTTTACAGTATAACTGTTTCAAATCTTGATACTGTGCTACTGTGTGCTGCTACAAAAGGATAAGAGTAACTGGAAAGCTTCTCCTCTTCATTTGTTCATAACACCTGTCTGGAGACTGAGGTGTGATGGAACCTGAAAAAAGCTGGTGGCAAATTAATATGTATTTTGTGTCCGATGTAGAATTAAATACTTAAAGGAGGGGTAGGTAATTCACTTCAGAAACACTTTTTGTTATATTCCATGGAATGCTCTTAACATCCCGATAGCAATGAATACATGAAATGCTTTGACAATAAATACATAACAAAATGTCATCTCTGGAAGCCGTGGCGCTGTAAAAAGCACGACCAATCATCTGAGCCGGCCCGACTAAAGTAACTGGATGGCCTACCTGCCTGTCAGCCTTCCATCTGTGCACAAACTTATCTCGTGCCCTCATTGGTCATGTGCGCGTTCGTGTGTGTTGGAGGAGGGACTCTGTAAGGAAGTCTGAAGGAAGGGGCAGATTTTTTTCGGCTGCGTACTTCAAATTCAAATTCAAATTCTAGCGCACTCGAGCTGGTTTCTCCATTCGTACCTACCCTACCTTTAAGACACAAAGATTTAATAAAAAAATAATAAAGAAAAAGATGACTAACTCAATTGACAAAGATGCCAAATGACTGATGTTGTGGAAGATAAGTCTTAAAGTCTCATTCTGAAATGAAACTCTTCCACTAATGTTGGAACACAAACACTTCACAGTACACCGGATAGTGAGTAATAAAAGGATCTCCCGTTTGGCCGCCTTCTCTATTTCCCCTAAGAATGATTGCATGCGTCCTTTGCATGAAATATTCAGAGAGTGCAGCTTCCCTTGGCATGATCTCTTATCTGTCACACTGCACTGATGTCACCGTTTTTACATTACCAGAGAATATTACAAAATATATCCGAAAAAGCCGCTGATGCAAATAATACAATATTAACCAATATATATAATCAGATTTTAAAAAAGTCCACTAAAGTAAATGTTCTGTGGGCCATGCTCATATAGGATAGCATGCAGCTAATGTTGAAATGTTAAATATGATATTATATAGTCTCTTAGTATTAAAAGTAAATGATTGAAGGGTCCCTCAGCCTTGATACAATTCTACATAATTGATACAACATGATCTTTGCGTTTTGAGGTCAGAATGAGCCTGATCTCGTACAACAGAAAACACTTTAATATTTGTTAAGAGGTGAAGATGAGCTGTTTCTATTGCTCCCTTTAACATCCCAACTCTCTCTCTCCCTCTGGTGTTATGTCTCTGTTCGGGTCCGATGACTTTCGTTCAGTCCTCTGGGATCTGTCTCGAATGTCTCTTCTCAGAGTCATCAAACAATTAGCGCGGTACAAGTAGCTGAGAAAAGACGAGCAGTAACATGAGTAACTGGCACGCTAGAAAGACGAGGAAGCTTCAACTGCTAACTCATTTCAATGTTTTTTTAATGGCTGACGCTGAGCTGAGCCAATGAGTGGCAAGGAAAATGATATAACAGAAACTCTCTGCTAGAGGGTTTGTAATTTAGAAAAAAACGATAAGTTAAAAGTCCATCAAGAGTGGGTTTTAGTGCAGATATGGTAGTATGGAGTAAGATATACAGATAAGTTGTATACAAATGTAGAGGCATATAACTATTTGTATCTGGATATTAGGGGTGTAACGGTTCACAAACATTTCGGTTCGGTATGTACCTCGGTTTTTTGGTCACGGTTCGGTTCGGTACGTTTTCGGTACAGCAGAATTTTTTTTCACAAAACAAAACATATATATATATATTTATTATTATTAAACTGTGAATAATGTATTCACTCAAATAAATACAAAATATAATAAAATAAACATTAAGGTGCAGCATTTCGATGAACTGAAATAATCTGTATTTGAACTGTACTGAACTAGCACCTAAGCAGCCAGTTTGACATTAGGACTCGCTTGTCATTGTATTTTCATGTTGTTTAAAGAAAAATGAACTTGTCCACATTGCTGCTGAAAGGGCAGATCTGCTGGCACTAACAATGTCTCCTGCTGTGGAGAACACCCTCTCTAGGGACAGAGGTAGCAGATACAGCCAGGTAGCGCTTTGCTAACATGGCAACATAAGGATATTTGGCGTTTGTAATAGCTTTGGCTCGGTCTGAACTTTCTGCGAGTGGTGGAGGCTTACATGCTAGCGGGAGTTGGGTTTGCACTTCAGTCTTTTTTCTTTTGGTACCGGTGATATTCACGTTCGAGTGATGCCTTTTCAAGAGTGTGCAAGTTTGATGTATTGCCAGCCGCGTAACCAATTTTAGTTGAACAATGCCGACAAACAGCTTTGGTTCGGTCCACCTGTCTTTGTCCGTCATCCTTGTTCGTAACTGCAAAACCAAAATGTTCCCAAACCGGAGATTTCAATGATGCTGGAGGATTTTCTAGCTCAACTTTATCTGCGTTCGTCATTAATTTTCGACAGTTCCTCAAATTACAGACTACATTTGAACGCATCCCTCTGACCCGCTCTCATAGTATGCCTCTCATCCAATGAAATGACCTGCTCGCTCTATGACGCGTTGAACCCAATGTGAGCAAATTACTCTGAATGCTGCGACGCAGCACCTGAGATTACTTCCAAAAAGTTATTCACGTTCTCAATTTTTTACGTTTAACGTTATATTCGTTCGGTACACTTCGGTACACACCTGTACCGAACCGAAGGGCCCGTACCGAATAATTTCGGTACGGGTACGTGTACCGTTACACCCCTACTGGATATGTATCAGACTTTAGGTGGAGGATTATTTTAGGCTTCAATCAAGCATTTCAAAGGGCTGTTAATCCAACAAACAGAAAAAGAAAATACTCTGTCAAGTGTTTAACAAATAACATTGGCATTGCTTTTTCTATTTTAAATAGTATTACAGGTTTGGATGGTAGGGTAAATTCATTTGGTATATGGGTCACCTGTACTTTTTGTTGTAGCAACTGCTTATTTGCCAAAGAGGGCAAACTGGCCGTTGCTTGGGCGACTTAAGCCCTCACTGTAATTGATACTCGTTGCTTAAACAGACTTTGGTAGATCACTTGTCTTCCCTTTCATTTCTGATCCTTAACTCTTGGTTTGGAAAGTGCTTCATACCGGGTTTAGGCAGGCGTTGGCGGTAGAGTTTCAGGTGATCCTGGGCCGAGGCGCACAGTTCCTCCACACTGTCTTCTCCTTCTGTAATTTGTAGTCTTTTCTCCCAGTTACGCACCTGCAGTACACAGAATACAATCATCTGTTCATCTATCATTTATTTGTGAGTTATACCAGGGTATATGCAGGAATCCTGAAGTCAAATGTAATACCTTTTAAGACCTTTTTTAAGACCCTTTCCATACATTTTAAGACCTCATCGCCACTTTGAGTTTTAACCGGTTACATTGGCGACACACTTTACCTCACATTGACTATATACAGTATTGATTGTCCTTCCTCCTTATCTTCTAACTATTTGGACGCAGACTTGCATTTCCCCATAACGATGTTGTTTAACAACCGGCGTAAACGGACCTTCGCGCTGTTGAGATCTCCATATGAAGTGAATACTTAAAACGAAAGTTAATTATAAATCATATATGATCAATCATATTCTTGTATAAACCCATAATGAGAATGCTTCTTGATGGTTTTTGAATATGTATGTATGCTTACAATTTTATCTGTTGCTATTTGATAACTTTGCGTTTTGAAAAGAGGGTGTTGAGAGTTTTCATAGTATGTTTAATACTTAAAACGAAAGTTAGTTATAATCAAATATAATCAATTATATTCTTGTATAACCCACAATGAAAATGCTTCATATTTTAGGTTTTTCTATAGTTACAGTATAAACAAAACCAAGTGGTTTGTTAAGTTGAGTGTAAGGCCTATAAGAGTTATGGGTGTCTCTGATAAGAGAGTAGGCCGTTTTTTCCCTCTCCTCTGACAGCAGTGCACAGGGAGGGGGGCTCCTTACTTAAGGAGAAACACATTAGAGGCCTCAAAAAGGTGGTTATGTCATAAACGAGAATAATATTTTTCAAATCCTACAGGGGTCATGTCCTTTTTACACAAACATGGGAAGGTGTGTCTTATGCCATAAGCTATGGAACATGTTGGGTCATGTCCAGCCCTGTACATTAGAGGCCATGCCCAGTTTTCCACAAATTGGGTGTGGAGGAGGTGCTTTGGGGTTTCGATCCGGTTTTTTGAGCATAGAGGGGCTGGTTTTTTGAGAGAGCGCGAGAGAGAGGGGGGGTTTCCCCTGGTAAACTCTCTCCCGGTAGGCTTTGTCCTTCAGAGCTGGGTTAATAGCTCTCGGTAAGGTTCTCTCAAACTTGGTAAATATCTCTGAAATGTGTTGGTTGAAATGCTGAGTGAATTTGGTTGAAATGCTGAGTGAATTTCTTTGAATGCTGAGTGAATTTCTTGGTTGGAATGCTGAGTGGAATGATTTGATGGGAGATGTGTTTGCGATTAGTAACCGCCACCGTGAGGATCTTCCTCCGAAATACCTGCGGGAGATAGGTATGTGTTTGTGGATGTTAGTACCCGCCATCTGTGTCGGATAGGAGTGTGGTTGTGATTAGGAACCGCCACCGTGAGGATCTTCCTCCGAAATACCTGCGGGAGATAGGTGTGTGTTTTTGAATGTTATACCCGCCGTCTGTGTCGGAAAAAAGGTATGAAACTGATGTGAATTGATTTGGTGAATGGAAAGTTGAATGCGCTTTTTATTGTCACCGGTCTTTTTATGAGGAAATACCTCTAAATTCTATCGGGAGAATTTTAAAATGTCACAACTGAATTGGGCAGTTGAAATGAAACATTTTGGTAATAAATGTAAGACTGTGAATTAAAGTTTCATATTTGAACATGATCACAGCACCATTTTTTTTAGTATGATTATAATGTTGTAAAGAGAGAAGGTAAAAACCCTGTATTAGTTTGGACCTATTTTTCTTCAAATAAACTGATCCCACCTTTTTGGACTGGGATAACTTAAAAGACAACCTGTGCTCTCCTCTCCTGCTTCAAAGGTAAGACTGCACCCTGCCACACACACTTAGGTAGGCGCACACTCCATTTACTGATATCAAAATCCTTCGGGATCCCTTAAACAGATTAAAAAAGAGTTGTCTGAATTGAAACAGCAGTTAATTGAACCTGGTTCTTCGGGGGGGTTAGTAGAGGTGAGATCTTGCTGACGTTGGTGGATCTGAGCCAAGCAGTAAACTTACATAGACTCAATAACTTCGGTCAGGTCAATTAGTAGGTCAGAGTAATTTACCGGAATAAATTATCAGGACCTCGCCGACTCTAAACAGCGCGCTATCAAGCAGTGAGCGTGCGATGTCCTGTTCAGATGACGTCCAATCCAACGGGATGCCATAAATAAACTACACAGAATCACACTACACACCTACGCAATGATTACATTCAGGCAGACTGTAGAATACAACCTCTTTGGACAATTCATATACTTATTGAAAACAAGCTACAAAATGTAATACCTTGAAAATGCCGTTTAATACTTTTTAATAGCCTTCATTTTCGCTAAATTGATTTGTCAACTTTTAATACTTTTTAAGACCCCACGGACCCCCTGATAAAAGGAACTATGTTTAGACATAGTTCCTTTGTCTAAAAAAGACAAAGGAACTAAAGACAAATTATTCATAACTGAAAAAGACAAATTATTCATAACTGAAATCATAGTTCATCAACTTGTATTTACCAATAGAACTGTGGATGTGTCAATGTAACAGTATCATAATCACTAACACAAATCATGAACCAAAAAATAATTACAGGAACTTTGAGTCTGCACACGGCCCTCAATTTGATCTCTACTCTTCAAAATGGCAAAACTTGTAAAATATAAGGTTTAACAAACAAGAATGAATAAACATTAAGGGAAATAACCCTTTAGAAATCTAATTAGATGGTAAGCATAGTCAAATACATGTATTACCTCCAAAGTGTGTTTAGTGTCGATCTCCAAACAACTGGATGATGCAAAATGCTTCTTGTACCAATCAGTCTCCGTGACATCCTGAAAATGAGAGATGTGATAACCAGATCTTAGATAAAAAACTGACCCAGCAAACTATTTCATATATAGAGCTTGGCATTCCTATTCAAGGTTCAATAACAATATACTGAAATGTGAAAACACTGGCACACCTCGTATCATATCCTCACATGCACTGCACACAAACACATGAGATACTTTTACTGTGAAACTCAAACCAGCACTTAGTCATTGTGAAGTGAGCGCTGACTGGTAAATAAAGGATGAGCAGAGGTCGATGGCAGTGATTCTGGCTCTGCAGAGCGATGTTTAATCTTTCACTCTGACCTTTGCATCCAGCTCCCCTGTGGGCCTGTGTGGACAGTCCAGGGAGTGTGACCCCAGCTCACTCAGCTTCATCTCACTGACACATCCTTTGTTAGAAAAACACATCAGAGCCACAATATGTCACCAGGCTTGGGGAGTAACAGATCATAAGTTATGGCATTACGTTTTCAGGAGATACATTTGTTTTACTCCTATACCGTTACATACAAAAATGTGTTATCAGCATTTTAAACGATACAATTCTGTCTGCATTTACTACAATTTAAGAAAACACATTTTTACAACTAAATATATTCTTTATAGGGTAACTAGTCATTGTAATGGAATACATTCTTAAAGTAACCCTCCCAGCCATGTGTATCACACACTAGAATGGATAGCGTTGACCTAAACTACTGAAAAGTGTAACAGACTAGACGACTTAAAGGTAGGGTAGGTAGGAATGGAGAAACCAGCTCGAGGCGCTAGAATTTGAAAGTACACAACAGGAAAAAATCTGCCCCTTCCTTCAGACTTCCTTACAGAGCCCCTCCTCCAATACACACGAACGCGCACATGACCAATGAGGGCACGAGATAAGTTTGTGCACAGATGGAAGGCTGACAGGCAGGTAGGCCATCCAGTTACTTTAGCCGGGCCGGCTCCGATGATTGGTCGTGCTTTTTACAGCGCCACGGCTTCCACAGAGGACATTTCTTTATGTATTTATTGTCAAAGCATTTAATATATTCATTGCTATCGGGATGTTAAGAGCATTCCATGGAATATAACAAAAAGTGTTTCTGAAGTGAATTACATCTTTAAATGAACTCTTTTTTTACAGAATAAGAGGAGCTACTGATAGCATTTTAGTCTTTTAAATTGAGTCATAACACATGTGTCTAAGTACTGTAGTCTATTAGATGTTGTCATGGTGGCATTTTCTGCACTGTGTAATGATCCAGAACCTCAAATAAATCGATTAGAAAGAGGTCAGTTGTCCAGAGACCAATCACTCATGTGACTAACTAGGCAGGGGAAAGCTCAAATGAGGCCTGATACCAAACACAGCCTTGGATCTGAAACAGATAGATCACAAGGTCTTAGTTAAGTAATAGTATCCGCCTCATTACAGTAACTAAATAGTTGTCTACAGTAACAGCATGTTACATGATAGTTCAGGGAGTGTAATCAGGACTGTCAAAAGGTAAGACAAGAGCGTGCCTGGCTCATTACGGAAGTAGATCTGTAGGTAAATCTGCTATGGAGACAGACATAATTAAACTGTTCTAAAATCTCAATGAAGTCATAGAATCTGTTACTCTGATTGAAGGTCAATTTCTTACCATTTTTTATTATTTGCTTAATGATACAAGGTAGGAAGTTGGCAAGCTGTTACCTTCCTTCTTTACTATACAACTTTCTTTTTTTGCCTGAATAATGGTGGTTTGATGCTTCACTCCACTGACCTTTAACCCACTGAGTAATAGCTTTGCCTCCACAGCAGCTCTGCTTTAGAAAAAGCTATTAAAGGATCTCAGACTCCAATATTCACCTCTGTAATTAAAAAAGCACTTGACCAGAGCATCCGACATCTTCCTGTCGAGGTCCATTTCAACGACCTTCCAGCCGTCTCCCAGCGGACCGTCGCTAAGTGGGTCGACTTTTGATCTGCGTGCCAGCATCTCAATATAAGGCCTTGAGAAGATGTGCTTTGGGTCACTGCAAATCAACAGGAGAACCAACATTGGCTGCATTTCTTTAACCAATACAGAATGTGCAATGTGTAGTATGTGCATATAAATATAGCTATTTCTGTTTATATTTCAAATGATAAAAAATACGAAAATGATCAAGCACAATGGCTATGATTATTCAAAGTTAAACAATTACAAGTTTCAAATTAGGGAATTACAAATGTGTGTTCCAATTGGCAAACTGAGATAGATATATACTGGTTCAATTTATTTTACTTGATTTCTTTTTATAATTATGATTTGACCATTTCATTGACTCTAAAACACTTGGTTTAGCAATATGATGAAGGGGGTAAGTGCAGTTAGAACTGCTAATATTTTCTCTTATTAAGTGTCTTTCTATTCAGGTGTTACCTGTGCTTGATAAATATGGGTCTATAAAAGGCAGTCAGAGATACTGGACATTCGTAGTCCAGCTGCTGCTTCCCATCAGTGAAGGTCACAGCCATGGGAATCAGCTCTCGAGTCACCAGCAGTGTGTACACCTAAGGGGCAACAACACAGGGAAACAGCACTATTTGTATCTGTTTTATGTATATTCATGTTGCACTGTTGGAGGAGCCTGTGACTTAAGTTTTTCATTGCCATATCTACATCGTAGCTAATGTGCACATGACAATAAAGCCTTGAATCTTAAAAATGTTGTAATCATTATGTAACCTAAAATGACCCCAGAAAACTATCCTCTTGAATGCCTTCTCACATTCTGTGATATAGGAACATGGAGCACCTAACAGTGTGGGTGGAGCTCCAAAATCTACAGGTTACCAGTTTGTACTGTAGGTGAGGATGAGGTGGTGAACCCATGAAGATGATCGTCATTTTTTAAATATAATGTCAACATGTCAGTGTGCTGAAACACACAGCCCCCCTCTCTTATGTCTCATACCTGTGAATTGCTGCCATCTGCTGAACGGACTGAGATCTCCACCACAGAGTCGCCATAATTCAGAGGGACTGGCTGTGAGCTCTCTCCCTGATTCACTGCAACTTTTATGTTTCTGTCCGGCACCTTGGGAAGCAGGGTCACCGCGTTACAATGAAATGGAACAACACCTGCAGGAAAAAGAGTTTAAAGTTGATGACGAAAGAGACAAAAAATACCAACAAGATACAAAGGTATCTTATATGGACATGTTACCACCAGATACTTATAACAAGGACAATATAATGTATATACACCTCAAATTCTATATTTCGTTATTTTTGTATCATTATTCATATACATGCTATTACTGTACATGTTTGACTTTTTCCAGATATGTTTTTGTTGCAAATAATATGTATTCCTTAATAAAAAATATGTAATAATGTCCCAACATTCTGGTGCTTTAACTGGCTTTTTCATAGTTTCACAAGAAGGCTGTACTCACTGTTGTATTCATAGATTTTGGTACAGAATGCAGGATTACGTGGAATATCTCCATCCAAAGCCAGATCACTGAGTGCTGCGACCTTTGCAGACAGCTTGGTGATTTCCACACAGTATTTCTTAACGGTGCCATCCTCTGCTATCACCTCGATGTCCACTCTGGTTAACCCATCATTCAGGTTAATGGTGCTGGAACCATCTCCACAAAGCTGTACAAAATGGGTTATATTCAGAGGTGGGAAGTTACTTTTACTCAAGTACTAAACTTAAGTATAACATATTGAGGTGATTATGCTACTATACGTCTATTTAAAAGAGAAATAATGAAATAACTAACCCTAACCCTTCTTATAAATTAAACTAGTGGACTAACTATTTAAGTGACAAAAGAGTCAAATTAGAGGCAGCTGATAAGTCAATTAGAACTTTATCATAAAAATAAAATGCTACTTGATGCAACAATATCATCTAGAAATGTCACATAAATATAATTATATACACACATAATGGCAATTTTTCTGCACAGGTATTACTTTTTATACTTTAAATAGGCTACATTTAGCAGATAACACCTGTACTTTTACTTTTTTAATGCAGGTTCTTTACTTCTAATTAAGTATTTTTACAGTAATAATGTATTGGTACTATATTGTATGTTCAATCATACAATATTATAAGTATAAAAACATATTGACAGGACAGTACTCACAATATTGTATGAAGCTCCACAGTCACTGGTGATCAGCTTCAGACTCACTTTGTTCACATTGCTCTCCACCGTCACTCTGTAGTCTGTGACTTGTGGTGTGAAAGCAGGAAGGAGCTTCCCAACAGACACAGATAACTTCTCCAAATCACAGTTGTCCATGTCTCAAGACTCTTTTTTTCATTTAATTGTACACCTGGTTTACTTGTGTTCAGGTATACCTACAACATCAGTGATACGGTCCAAGTCCTAAACGCACTTAAAACTGACATCCCATGACACCAGGATTCATTTACCACACTGACGCCAAGTTTCCATAGTAACGTGAACAACTTTGCTGCCTTCAGACTAAGCTAAAGCTAAGCTAAATATGTTATACGTAATATCTCCGATGAAGAAACAGTTATACAAAACTCACAACATGTTGATTTGTTAAGGCGTTAACGTTGGTGTAAAAAGTATGTTTAAATGTGTCAAAAATGAGCATTAGTTAACAGCTAACTTAGAGGATAAACTGGTATACAACGGTGGTCGATGCACAATATATGATTTTTCTCAGATACAGCAGTAACCAATCTATAAAATACTACATATAACCAGTTTAAGGTAAAAATGTCATAAGTGGATAATGTCCTCCTCCAAACGGCAGACGGCAGTACAGAAGAAAAAGAAGACTGGCTGTGTTGTTTACTGACGTCATTTCTGGTCTGCCAAAGCGTGGTGTGTGCTAAAAAAGGTATTATAGAAATAGCTTACTTTACCGTTAACTTCTGTTTCCAGTGGACTTGTTTAGACATTTAACCAGTTTCAAGTGTTGTTTAACACATAATACACAGTTGCCACTCAATGTCTGCTCTTTGAAACGTGTGCCTCTGATCCTTTTAGCAGCATGTGTTAGCTATCTACTAGCTACAAAGCTAACACTACAGATTTGAATGGGATCTTTTTTGTACAACAGGACTTCATAATATTGTCGGATCATACTTATTTTTACAGGAACATGGCAGCGGACGGCCAAACGGACGACTACCCTCACGAGATAGACGATCAGCTCACAGGATTTGACTCCTCCGTGACTGCTATCAAAACCATGTTGGACAAGTTGCCCAGGAACGACGTTATGCATAAGGTAAAGTTAGGCTGTTAATACTTTTCACAACACTTTAAGGAATGAAGCAAGCATACACAGCGTCTTTGGGTTCATGAACAGCGCTATAGAAATAAAATATATTATTATTATTATTATTTTAAAATGATGATGAAGTGGCAACGTTACCACACCAATAAGAAACACATATAATGTATGTTATTAGCTACACGTGTTCTCTTCTATAACATGTGAACATGTCAAATGTGAGAAAAGCCTATATGACAAGATATATTGAAAATATAACATATAACTAAACATATGTGGTTGTTTTAATGAATCACTGCATCCGCAGAACTGTACAGCTCTCTTATTCCAAAATACAGTTATATTCTATCTATTACAGCTATACTGTACATACATGTTATCGTTTCTTATAGAGAGAGAATGTATAAGTTACATTATTATTGTAATTTGTATAATTTGTTTCTTGACTTTTGCACTTGTGCAGTACTTTGATTTACATGCCAAACATACATTAAGCTCCTAAAATATGATGCTTGGGTGTATCCAGCAGTCTGTGATTTGGATAAATATAGGGAACATTATTGTTTTGTTTTGCTTGTAAGTTACTGTGCTAATGACATTTTTGCGACAGAAGGAATTTGACACAATGACTGACAAAACTACATTTGTTTTATTGACAGCTGGACCCTTTGGACCAAGCCAAGCTGGATCTGATGTCTGCCTACACCCTTAATTCATTATTCTGGAGTACGTTTTTTTTCTGCTTGCTGTTATTTAATCTATGTAAATGATCAATCACATAGTTATTTATGTATTAATAACACAACAATGGGAAAGATTGCCTGTTTTTTATTGACTGCACATATTATACTATAATAAGCATATTATTTTCTGTTTTTCTGAGATAACCATACATGCTGATTTATTCATAAATGTATTATATAATTGAGCGTTGAATTTGTATTTGCTCGTATTTGTGTCTGTATTCTCTATTAACATAATTGGGCCTTGTTGTTTACAGTGTACTTGGTTACACAAGGAATTAATCCAAGAGAGCATGGAATCAAACAGGAGTTGGTATGTATGAATTCTCTGTTCTGTCTTTGACATTTTAATAATTTCTGTATTTGTTTGCATTGTCTAACTCCTCTGTAACAACTCTGTTCTCCAGGAGCGAATAAGGACATACATGAACAAAGTGAAAGAGATCACAGACAGGAAGAAAGCTGCCCGTCTGGATAAGGGGGCTGCGGCACGCTTCGTCAGGAGTGCCCTCTACCAGCCAGACGAAAAAGACTCTAGAAAAAAATCAGCATCCAAGAAAGCAGCAGATGCAAAACCTGACACCCCGCAGTTTAAGCGTCCGAAGCAGAGCAGAAGTTAAGAAGGAGCTTCACAGTGTGGTCTCAATGCACTTTGAACCACTTTAGGACACAAACATTTCTGTTTCGCAAAGAAACGAAGCATCTTCTATGGTTGTGTTACTCGGTACAAGACCGGTCAGATTTCACCAGTCAGCTAATTATACTGGATGTATCAAAAACCCAAGACTTTCTGCCATCCGTGAATCACCTTTCAGATTTTGCTGAACATATTTCTGCGTAGATTCAATAGATTCAAGGCTATACTATTTTTCTAATGCAATTTCATCATTCAGTTATTGCCTAAATCTTATTCAGGATTCCAAAACCATGAAAACATGCAATTTCCTTTTAGAAAGTGAGTAAAACTAAATACTGACATATTTTAAAACGTGTGTGTACCATGTTTTGAAATATGTCATTTAAGATTTTTCCATTCCTTCTTTTAGAGGAATAAGACTTTTAGATGTTCTCTTTCTTTTTTAAAGTGATTCTATGAATCATCATTTGTTTTTTAAGAGATGTTTTTTTTACCAGTGCCATGTGTAAAACATGTATTCATACAACGTTGTTGGTAATGTAATACTATCTTACTGCATAAAATGACATCACTCACCAAAAGATGTTTGTTAAATCCCCTTTTGTCTATTATTCTATTTATTCCTCATGAAAAAAAGGGTGAAAATAACTATCATTTAAAACAGTCTAATGCAAGCTGTTTGAGATGTTGGCATGTAACAGAAAATCCACTGATATAAAAAATGGCTCAATTCCATTTAGCTGCTTAGGTTCCAGGACCCTGGTATTGTGCATGCTGGCTTACTGACGCGCTCTTATCTCTTACTGGGACATACATACAGAATAGATGTGCTTATCAAAATGGAAATACAATGTGTAGTGCAGTTAACACCAAGTGTACAGTTTGAGCTTCATCATCACTCATTAACAAAAAATTAACAACTTGGATGTGATTTTAGTACCTGCATACTCTAAGCCAGCAACTGCGCGAAGGTGGTGACAGACTTGACAAAGACTGGATTCGTGGACTTGCTCAAAAACGTGGACGGACTGTATCTCTCTGATTGCACTGTAGATTTCTTGCCAATATATGGTGTTGTGATTTTGCCAGTAAAGATTATTGGTTGCACTCTGGCTTGAAGGTTGCAATATATATATATAAGTACAATTTATTCTTCTGTTTTAATCTTCCCCATGGAGTCTAAACTCATAACCCGTAGTGAGTGGCTGCTTCTCAGGTCGATTAAATGAAATCCTTGCTTCCCTCACTTGCGTCGTTTCCCTGCGTTTAGTCCCTCCCACCAGGGAAGCATGGAGGGACGCAAGGAAACCACGAGAAGCAGGGAAATGAGTTTTAAGAGCAATGGGACGTCCTTTCCTCCGGAGCGTCACGTGAAGCGACGTCCGTTTGTGATGACGCTGCACAGCTGATCGTCTGACAGCAGCTCTGTCCCCGTTATTTCCACACACCCCCGCCTCTGTTAGTACACATTTACTGACACAAACATTTGTATCATCTGTTGTAGACCCCAATAAATAAAATAAAATAAGAACTCATTGTCAAAAAAGATAAACGCCATTCTTACAATTTATAAACGAACAATAATTTGATTAATATTGATTAGAGTGCACAATAGAAATAAAATAATTGAGAGAAGAAAAAGAGATATGTTATCTATCAAAACCCAGTTAGATTAACATTCATTGGACTGCACACTTTGTTTGTTTGTTTGGATATGTAGCACATTAACATTTTAATAGCACTTAATGACTGACTGAATGGAAATGACAAATGAAAATGTAAAACGAAAAAAGCAATCATGAAAATGTTTCCAAAAAATGAATTAAATGATTTTTGACCACTTTGTTGTTCAGATATATCACATATTTGTAACTAAATGATACATGAATTGAAACAAAACACGGTATAAACTGAGGAGTGACTCCCGTGAGGTTCATGTATTTTCTTCACTGCTCTCATGTCAAGAAGCATCAGATCAGTGCATGCACTGCCTCGTCCAATCAGTGAGCGATACACAGTAAGGGGGCGGGGTGAGTATTTGAGGATTTCATCGGAGGATGGTCTGGTGGTTCCTTAACTCCCCTCCTCGATACTTAGTCCCGCCCACAGGAGATGTGAGCGGAGGAGCCGAACCGAGGAGAGAGGAGGGGACGCAGCAGGCGGTTAGAGAAATTAGAACTACTCCTCTCCTCTGAGCGGTTATTTTAAAGAGACGTCCATTAATGATGACAGGAGGCACAGCAGCACTCTGTCTGATGGACAGATGTGTTCATGACGACTTATATTGACTTTTAATTCATTCACAGTGCGGTATAATGAGACAATAACAGGCTACAGATGCGGACACACACACACACATATGTATATATTTATATAAATATATACAATTTCAGAATCAAACAGAACACTATCAGAGACTGGATATATCCGCCCCCCCCCCCTCCCCTCCCCTCCCCTCCGCTACAATGAGGAAAATAAATTACGGGCCAAAAGTTTTATTTACAAGTATTAAAAGTAAGCAGAGGCCAACTGAGACCTGTCTGTCCGCTGCATCTATACGCACACACTGTACCACACACACACCTACACTACACACACGCACATACAGTTCCTCAAACAGGCTACAGCCGTTGTGTATTTTATTATGTGAAGCACTAAATGGTTTTAGAAAAATATCGACTCTTTGTAGATATTGTAGTGCCGAGAGATATGGAGTCAGAGGCGGTGCAAGAATAGTGATTTATTCACAAGCTGTAAAGGACATGTTGTCGGGTCGCAGCCCGGGTCGACAAGAGAGAGCCAAGAGGGTACACACTATTTATAGGTAACCCATAACATGTCCGTGTGGGAACAATAACCGCAACTGTAGTTCCAAGTTTGAATTATGTCCCAGTGGTTAAATAGGTGGTCACCACACAAGCCCCCCCAGAATTCAAACATGGCAAAAAAATATATATCCCCACGTCCGTGGAGGAAGCACCACAAGGGCCGAGGAGGGTGGGGCCGCAGGTGAGGACCGGGCCATGGAACGGGCCATGGAACGGGCCACGAAAGGGGGCCGCAGGAGAGGGCAGGGGCCCTAACGAGGGCGAGGGCACCCACACCGGGGGTGGGCCGTCGTAAGGGGGCCGCAGTAGGTGTCGCGGAGAACCAAGCAGGAAAGAGCGCAACCCGGCCGCAGGCAGACGCACAACGGCGGCGGGCACGAAGTCCTCGGCAGGCGTCGAGGTATCCCCGGAAGAGAGGAGCAGTCCCCCCGGGAGGAAGGAGCGCAACCCGGCCGCAGGCAGACGTGCAACGGCGGTGGGCACGAAGTCCTCGGCAGGCGTCGAGGCATCCCCGGGAAGCAGGAGAGCAACCCGGCCGCAGGCAGACGTGCCGCGGCGGCGGGCATGAAGTCCTCAGCAGATGTCGAGGTATCCCCGGGAAGCAGGAGAGCAACCCGGCCGCAGGCAGACGTGCCGCGGCGGCGGGCATGAAGTCCTC